CCAGGCAGGTCTCAAACTCCTGACATCATGATCCACTCGCCTCAACCTCCCAAAGTGCTGGAATTACAGGCATGAGCCACCACGCCTTGCCTACAGACCGTCTCTTAAATTGTTATTTTCACAGGTAGCTAATACTTAAATAATGCATTCCAATCATAACATCAATTTCAGAAAGTACCGTTTTTTCACTTATGATCCAAAATCACTTCCTATTAAATCTTCCCTTTATGTTTCTCTCTTTTTCCCTTTTATTGAACCGCACTGAGTTATTGCCCTAAAAAAAGCATAAAGCAGCTGGGCACAGTGGCTCACACCTGTAATCCCAGCACTTTGGGAGGCTGAGGCTGGCAGATCACAAGGTTAGGAGTCCGAGACCAGCCTGACCAACATGGTGAAACCCTGTCTCTACTAAAAATACAAAAATTAGCTGGGCATGGTAGAGCATGCCTATAATCCCAGCTACTGGGGAAGCTGAGCCAGGAGAATCACTTGAAGCCAGGAGACGGAGGTTGTGGTAAGCTGAGATCGTGCCACTGCACTCCAGCCTGGGCAACAGAGCGAGACTCTGTCTCAAAAAAAAAAAAAGCATAAAGCTTTACTAATTCTAATTGTCAGCCTGAAAGACAGAATTGTTAACTTTTTATTATAAAAATTTTTGAACATATATAAATGTAAACAGAAGTATTCTGAACCCATATATGCCCATTACCAATTATGTAATTACTAATCTGTTTTCTTTTTTTGTTGATGTTAATTATACTTTAAGTTCTGGACTACATGTCCTGATCTTGCAGGATTGTTACACAGGTACACACCTGCCATGGTGGTTTGCTGCCTCCATCCCCCCATCACCTACCTCAGGCATTTCTTCCAGTGTCATACCTCCCCAACTTCCCCACCCCCTGCTGTCCCTCCCCTAGCCCTCCACCCCTCAACAGGCCCCAGTGTATGATGCTCCCCTCCCTGTGTCCATGTGTTCTCATTGTTCAACACCTACCTGTGAGTGAGAACATACGGCATTTGGTTTTCTGTTCTTGTGTCAGTTTGCTGAGAATGATGGTTTCCAGATTCATCCATGTCCCTACAAAGGACATGAACTCATCTTTTTTAATGGCTACATAGTACTCCATGGTGTATATGTGCCACATTTTCTTTATCCAGTCTATCATTGATGGGCATTTGGGTTGGTTTCAGGTCTTTGCTGTTGTAAACAGTGCTGCAATGAACATACGTGTGCTTGTGTCTTTATAATAGAATGATTTATAATCCTTTGGGTATATACCAAGTTATAGGATTGCTGGGTCAAAGGGTATTTCTATTTCTAGATCCTTGAGGAATCGCCACACTGTCTTCAACAATGGTTAAACTAATTTACACTCCCACCAACAATGTAAAAGTGTTCCTATTTCTCCACATCCTCTTCAGCATCTGTTGTCTCCAGATTTTTTTAATGATCACTATTCTAACTGGCGTGAGATGATATCTCAATGTGGTTTTGATTTGCATTCTCTAATGACCAGTGATGATGAGCATTTTTTCATATGTTGGCCTCATAAATGTCTTCTTTTGAAAAGTGTCTGTTCATATCCTTGGCCCACTTTTGGATGGGGTTGTTTGGTTTTTTTCTTGTACATCTGTTTTAGTTCTTTGTGGAAGCTGGATATTAGCCCTTTGTCAGATGGGTAGATTACAAAAATTTTTTTCCCATTCTGTTAGTTGCCAGTTCACTCTAATGATCGTTTCTTTTGCTGTGCAGAAGCTCTTAAGCTTAATTAGATCCCATTTGTCTATTTTGGCTTTTGTTGCCAATGCTTTCGGTGTTTTAGTCATGAAGTCCTTGCCTATGCCTATGTCCTGAATGGTATTGTGTAGGTTTTCTTCTAGGGTTTTCGTAATGTTAGGTCTTATGTTTAAATCCTTGATCCATCTGGAGTTAATTTTCATGTAAGGTGAAAGGAAGGGGTCCAGTTTCAACTTTCTGCACATGGCTAGCCAGTTTTCCCAACATCATCTATTAAACAGGGAATCCTTTCCCTATTGCTTGTTTTTGTCAGGTTTGTCAAAGATCAGATGGTTGTAGATGTGTGGCATTACTTCTGAGGCCTCTGTTCTGTTCCACTGGTCTATATCTCTGTTATGATACCACTACCATGCTGTTTTGATTAATGTAGCCTTGTAGTATAGTTTGAAGTCAGGTAGCGTGATGCCTCCAGCTTTGTTCTTTTTGCTTAGGATTGTCTTGTCTATGCAGGGTCTTTTTTAGTTCCATATGAAGTTTAAGGTGGTTTTTTCCAGTTCTGTGAAGAAGGTCAATGGTCGCTTGATGGGGATAGCATTAAAACTAATCTATTTTCATATAAATCTCCACCCCTTCTACCTCCAAGATTAGTTTGAAATAAATCGCAGGTATCATAGTATTTCATATTCATGAGTATTTCAGTATAGGTATCCCTAAAGGATTTTTTAAATCCCATGTAACTGTAATATCATTTTATATCTTAAAATATTGAGGTTAATTTATTAATTACATCAAATATCTAGTTAATATTTCTATTTCCTTCTACCCTACAAATATTACTGCTTCTCCTTTTTTTTTTTTTTGCAGGTTTTGCTTCTATATTTACACATTTGTCTTAGAGTTTCCCATAATCTAGATTTTACTGATTGTATCATCATGGTGTTATTTAACATGTCTTCCTATATTCTCCATAATGAAGTAGTTGTATATAATGTTTAATGCAATTATATGAGACACGGGTGCAAAAAGTTATTCCAACTAGATTAAGAAGTACTGTTTTTGTGAGTTTTTAAAATGACAAAAAAGACTGTTAATAGGGTTTTAGATATAAGTTATGTTTACCAATTACTCATGAATTCTTAGAATAAACAGTATCATTCTATGGTTTTTTAACTATTATGAAAAAATTTGTTAGAGAAAACTTCAGAGATATATTTTGACAAACCCCATATTTATTTGAGTCTCAAAGACTGTTCAGGCCAGGCACAGTGGCTCACGCCTGTTAATTCCAGCACTTTGGGAAGCCGAGGCAGCTGGATCACTTGAGGTCAGGCGTTCAAGACCACCCTGGCCAACATGGTGTAAAACCCCATCTCTACTAAAAATACAAAAAAAAAAAAAAATTATCCAGGCATGGTGCTGTGGTCCTGTAATCCCAGCTACTTGGGTGGCTGAGACAGGAGAATCGCTTGAAGCCTGGAGACAGAGGTTGCAGTGAGCTAAGATCGCACCACTGCACTCCAGCCTCAGTGACAGAGCAGGACTCAGTCTCCAAAAAAAAAAAAAAAAACTGTTCAAAAATACAGCAGTAACTTTTTTTTTTCCTGAGGCAGGGTCTCACTTTGTCACCCAGGCTGCAGTGCAATGGCATAATCTCAGCTCACTGCAACCTCTGCCTCCCGGGTTCAAGCAATTCTTCTGCCTCAGCCTCTTGAGTAGCTGGGATTACAGGCATGTGCTACCACCCAGCTGATTGTTGTATTTTTAGTAGAGATGGGGTTTCACAATGTTGGTCAGGCTGGTCTCGAACTCCTGACCTTGTGATCCGCCCACCTCAGCCTTCCAAAGTGCTGAAATTACAGGTGAGAGCCACTGCACCCGGCCTTACAGCAGTAACTTAATGGTTTCACACTAATAGCCTTTCATTTTTGAAAGTATTTTGTTAAACTATGTCAGAACATGTTCTGTTGTTTGTTCTATTCTTCCCTTTTTTTTTTTTTTTTTTTGCTTGAGACAGAGTTTCACTCTTGTTGCCCAGGGCGGAGTGCAGTGGCGCAATATCTGCTCACTGCAACCTCCACCTCCTAGGTTTAAGCAGTTCTCTGCCTCAGCCTCCTGAGTAGCTGAGATTATAGGCACCTACCACCATGCACCGGCTACTTTTGTATTTTTAAGGAGAGAAGAGGTTTCACCATGTTGGCCACGCTGGGCTCCAACTCCTGGCTTCAGGTGATGAGCCTACATTGGCCTCACAAAATGCTGGGATTACAGGCAAGAGCCACTGTGTTTTAAAAATTGTGGCTTTTCCTGGCTTTTAAAAATCAGTATTATTGTCATAAACATAAAATGATTTTGTGTGATAAAGTAACTATAATTGACAGAGAAAATAGTACAATTTGACTTTTACTGCTAACCAATTTAAAATAATTTTCTTTGTTTTAAAAAATCAGTATTACTGTTATAAACAAAGTGATTTTTACATAATAGAGTACTTATTCACAGAGAAAATAGTTAGATTTTACTTTTGCTGCTAACCAATTTGAAAAATAATTTTTATTTTAAAAACCGGTTTTATTGCCATAAACAAGGTTTTTTGTTTTTTGTGTTTTTTTTAAGAGACGGGGTTTCACCACCATGTTGGCCAGGATGGTCCTGATCTCCTGAACTTGTGATCCTCCCGCCTCGGCCTCCTAAAGTACTGGGATTACAGGCATGAGCCACCGCGCCTGGCTGTTTTTGGGTTTTTTTTTTTAAGACAGAGTCTCACTCAGCCTCTCAGGCTGGAGTACAGTGGTGCAATTTTAGCTCACTGCCCCCTTGGTTCAAGGGATTCTCCTGCCTCAGCCTCCCGAGTAGCTGGAACTACAGGCGCATGCCACCACACCCAGCTAATTTGTGTATTTTTAGTAGAGATGCAGTTTCACCATGTTGGCCAGGATGGTCTTGCCCTCGTGATCTGCCCGCCTCCCAAAGTGCTGGGATTACAGGTACAAGCCACTACACCTGGCCAACAAAATTATTTTTCTGCAATAATTACTTATAATTTACAGAGAAAATAGTTACATTAGATTTTACTTTTACTGCTAACCAATTTGAAAACTAATTTTATTTAAATAAATTTGTTTAACAAATTCTTCATTCAGAGGACTGTTCATTCGAAGAATCTTTATAGTCATCCTCATCTTTATAGTCATCCTCAATCTTTATGGTCAATCTTTATAGTCATCCTCATCTCTGTTTTTGTATTTGTTTTTTTCCATAGCTCTTCAGTAGGTTACTTGCAACATCCAGGATCAGAACAAATACAGTTTCCTCGAACCACTTCACCATGCAATTCCCAGCAGCTTCAAGGCCACCAGTGTACAGGTATGAAGAGATCATCGAATAAAGATAATGATTTGTTCATGTGAGAAATAGTTCAATTAATTTCCTTAGGCATTTCTACAAAAAGGTTCTCAATTTGTGATGTGCTGAGATACACCCACAATATTTAGGGTGCTCTACTGAAACGTGCATTCTACTACTTCCTTTCCTACTACTGCTGCTATCACACGTCTGTCCTGATTCCTCTTTCTCAGAAGTATTGATATCCTCTAGCGTTATTTCCTATGCCTTCCTCTCATTACTCTTCCAGCTGTTCTTGTTTACTCCAGCTTATTTTTACGATAAGTGAGATGTTTAGGCCTACAGAGTCCATCTTAATGCCTGTTTGAACACACAGTACGATTCACTAGGGCTTCAACCTAGTTCTCTTAGGTAAGAGTAAAATTTTGTTGAGACATGTAAGATTATTACTGTTACCCTAGTGTTCAGAGATACCAACTGGTGGCTAACATATACTGACTGTAGTGTCGTTATTCTGATTTTCAGCTGTGCCACCACCGCCACCTGGTGGGGGGATGGTGATGATGCAGCTCAGTGTACCAAACAATCCACAGTCTTGTGCCCACTCGCCCCCGCAGTGGAAACAAAACAAATATTACTGTGATCACCAGAGAGGACAGAAGTGTGTAGAGTTTAGCAATGTAGACAATATTGTCCAGGTAAGATGCTTTTGTTCATTATCATTGTGAAACGTTACATTTTCGTTGTACAAGATTTGACCTATATAAGGCTTGAATTTGAAATCCTGTCAAGTAAATTAATAAGATAATTTGGGCCAGGCGTGGTGGCTCTCCCCTGTAACCCCAGCAGGGGAGAGCCACCTGGGAGGCTGAGGCAGGGGGATTACCTGAAGTCAGGAGTTCGAGACCACCGTGACCAACATGGTGAAACCCCATTGCTACTAAAAATACAAAATCAGCCAGGTGTGGTGGCACATGCCTATAATCCCAGTAAGGCTGAGGCAGAAGAATCATTTGAACTCGGGAGGCAGAAGTTGCAGTGAGCTGAGATCGCACCGTTGTGCTCCGGCCTGGGCAACAAGAGCGAAACTCCATCTCAAAAACAAAAAAAAAAAAGAAGAAAAAGAATTTAATTCAGTATTTAAATATTATTTGCTAACTTCTGCATATTCAAAAAATGTTTTTTAACTTTAAAAGAAAAACTAGATCTAAAATTTGATAAAGAAAAATAAGCGCCGGGCGCGGTGGCTCAAGCCTGTAATCCCAGCACTTTGGGAGGCTGAGGCGGGTGGATCACAAGGTCAAGAGATCGAGACCATCCTGGTCAA